TAAAAATTCACTTTTCTTAAATACGCCATATTTTTTTTATTACACTGTGTTTTTTAACATTTGCTATTCTATTATTGCTATTTTTATTAAACATAAGCATAAAACTATAGTTATTGTCAGAATGGTTTCTTTTGTATCAAATCTTTTTGTTAATTATTCCAAACAAATTTTTTCTACACTATCACTAACAAAAGCTCTTCAGAAGTAAATTTCGTGGCAAATGCATTTCCTTAATTTGAAAGTGAAGGTAAAAAAGCAAATTTAGATGTTTTTAGTTTAATAGTAATTCCTTTATGCAGATTAAGTCATGTGTTAATTTTGATCGGCGAAATGTCGCAAGTGGGCCATATGAGAAGTTTTAATGGCCACACTATAGCAAATTATAGACTGTAAACCTCGTAAAGCCATTAATAATATGCGGGAAAATGGTCCTTCCAATTTTATTAGGCAATATTTCAGCCTTATTAACTGACCCGTAAGATGGCAGTCCTCCTACTCACTTAAACCAAAACTCTATCAAACATTAAAAAAATAGTTATCACAATGTGCAAAGTCAGTGATTCTCCACCCCTTCCCCTTCGTACCCCTCATCCAAACTCTCCGTTAACGTGTCTTTAATCTCACTTTTGGTGTTCGTCTCCTCAGTCTGCGCACCCACACTCTTCACACAGTCTTTAGCGGGGACACACGACGGCCAACTAACCGTCGTAGTGGTGGAACAGCAGGGCTCGACAGCCCCCTCGTGGGTCCTCACGGGATACCCATCGGCGGTGTATCTCACATCGCTGTAGTGCTCATACGAGGGATGCATCGTCCGCGAGAGAAACTCCGCTTCCCGCGAAAACCTCCCCACTGGGTTGGCAGCATTGGAGCGTTTATTCCTGTTGTAGGGGAGAGTCTTGTAGCAATTTGAGCCCGAGTTGAGCAACCCAACGGGGTTGAGGTGAACGTCAGGGGCGTAGACGTACAAGTCGCGTTTTTTCAAAGGGGTGAACCGACCCACACTTTCAGTGCCGTTAATGAGGTCAGGGTTTTGCTCGAGCTGGTACGGGGAGAGACAGGGGGGGATTGGGGTCACGGGGATGTCCTCCACGGGGGCGTTATACAACATGGTTTCCTCTTCGTGCGTTGGGGGTTTCTCGTCGAGGGTCTCTTGGAGGAGATTGTCCTTGGCGGAGTTACTAAGAGCGACTTTTGAGTTGTTTCGTTTCTTTTTCAGTTTGGCGTTCCGATGACATCTTATTACCGATAAGAGTATCACTAGGAGTAAGAGGAGGAGTGATACAGCTGCTGTTGACATCGTAATTAGGATAAACTCAAAAGGGAGTTCGTTTGTGATTGGTGGTGAATCGTGTTTCACAATGACTCGAATTGTGAAATTGGCTTGGACAAGTCCTGCTGCATTTTCCGCGTTGCATATGAAGGTTCCGTTATCGTCACTGTTTGAATTGTAGATGAAAAGCTCGCTTCGTTTTTCGACGTTTCCTTCCTCGATGAAATACAAGAGATGCACACCTGGTGCAATCATTGAATCGTTTTGTAGTAATTGTCCTTGGAAAGTCCAGGAGACCCTCGCTTCAGGAATTGCGTTGACTTGGCACAAAAGCGAGACATTTTTCCCTTCCCCAATCTCGAGATAGAACATCGTGGGTGAAACTTCAGGTAAACAAGCGAGTTCTCCCACCGGCACCGATTTAATTGTGCGACTCCGGAGTCGAGTTGGTCCATTACAGAGCGGCTCGACGGAATGTGGCATAGTGAAAGCCCTCAACCAAGCGTGAAGTTCAACTATGTGGCAGTCGCACTCCCATGGATTGTCCTGGAGTTGCACCCCTTTTAAAGACTCCGGGAGATACGTCGCGCCTTGCAACGTCGTCATTTTGTTCCCGTTGAGGTGCAACCACTCGAGACTGTACAACCCCTGGAAAGCCCCCTCTTCCACGTGCGATATCTCGCAATTGCTGAGCTCGATAGTGTTGAGGAAAGACAGATGGTTGAATGCGGCCCGCCGGAGCGTCTTTATAGGATTAGCATTAAGTGTGAGCCTCATTAGGGAGGGACAGTCGAGGAACGTCTCACTGGGAACCGTCTCGAGCAAGTTACCGGACAAATCCAATTCGACGAGGTTTGTTAACCCGCGGAATGTCCGATCGTCGATGGTTGTAATGCGGCAACGACACAAATATATCCTTTGTAAGTTAATTAAGTCCATTTTGAGGAACTTGTCGCGTTGCAGAGTTTGCAAATTGTTCCCGCAAAACTGAAGGACTTGACTACTGGAATCCATACCTTCGGGAATGACAAGGAGGTCCTTATTGATGCACTCGACTGTCTGCTTACCGTTCTTCCACTTGCACGAACAGAAAACCGGACAACCACTACACTGAGTCAGGGACAATATGAGAAATACAAGTGCACCTCTCCAAGACATACTGCATCTCATCGGCGAGACCTGCAACAAAAACAATAAAAATAATAACTTTATTTAACGGTAATATCCTTTACATTAAGTCATGATATAATCCATTTCATTTAAATTGGCATAATAGTAGGCCATGATTGTGTAAACTGCGCTTTAAATGTGTAAAAGGCTTTACATATTAAGGAACTAAATTTGTCACTAAAAAAAGTGAGGTTAAGATACTTAAAATTTTATTTTTCAAGAACCCTCTTTCAAAGGTATTCAGAGACAGTTTTTCTCCATAAAAAGTTTCATCCCTTTGTAGGTGTAGTTTTGACACCAAAACATACACTATTTGCTTTGTAGAAAATACAGACTTTCGTTGATAATAAGTGGCTTCCAGGAATTTTAAAAGACGTTTTATTCACACCGCAAATGAAACACAATTTATTTTCCGTGAAAGTTGCAGCCAAAAGGGGTTTGGATTTTGTCATTAAAAATGTAGGACAAAATTGTGAATTTTTAAACAATGGTAAAGTTGTTGCGATCGGAGTGGAAAAAGGAAATCTGTACAAAATGAAGCTTCGCGTACTGAAGCCTGAAAAATCGTGTTTTGCCGTGGATAAAATAATTTGGCTTAATTCAAATTGGTATATTTGATTCCATTAACCTAAAATGCCTAAAACAGGAACAAAAAGAAATTGATWATGTTTTCAAACATACCTTAGCGTGTACTTTAAATCTGGGGTTCTGAAGAGAACTACTTTTAATTATAATTTGAAAAAATAGTAGGAATAACGAACAACCAACGAAAACAGTGAAAAAACGAATACAAATGTCAGTCATGTCAGTTAAATAAACCATGTAGGTAAGTGATCAAAGAAAAACAAAAACCCCATCAGTTGTTATATCAGGGATATGCACAGGGCTACAAACTTAAATACGAAATTCCATAGCCACCTATTATGCCAATTTCAATGAAATATACTTTAAAATTATAATAGAAAAGAAATCACATATAAACATAATTAAAAAATACTAAATGACTAAGGCCCAGTTTCATAATACTTCCTTTAAAGTCCCTTTAGTTAAAGGATATTTAAAAATTAAAGTTTCTTTAAAGCGACTTTAAAGTTATTGCATTTCATAATAGAAAAATACATCATCTTTACTTAAAGTGCCTTTAAGTAAAGTTGGTAGAACTGTTTTTATGTTTGCGTGCGCTTGCGTTACGTATTTTTGATTTTAAAAATGACATTATTCAAATTTGACAACTTTACTACAATTAAACGTCATTTAAATAATTTTGAATAATCAAAAGCGCAAAAGATCATCAAATTTTTCAAAAGAAGAAGAGATCTGTTTGTTAGAACAGATTGAAAAATACAAACATATTATTGAAAGCAAAACTACTAATAAAGTTTCTCAGTCCGAAAAGGTATTTCCCTAATTATAAGACTGATTGCCTTTGTGATATACTAACCAATTTTATCTACAGGAAAAAGCATGGTTAAAAATGTTAAACGAATTTAATAACAAAAATTTGCAAACATCTCGAACATTAGAACAAGTTAAATCAAAATTTGACAACCTCAAAACTAAAGCTCGGAAAGAAGTGGGTGAAAAAAAAGCATATTAAAGAAACTGGTGGTGGACCAGCTATTAATTACGATTTGGATACCGTTACGCAAGCAGTACTTCGCACTATAAATTTGAAGACAGTTGTAGGATTTAACAATAATGTAGATTGTGATAGTGGCGTACTATACTATAATTCAGAACATGTTCCAAGTATTTTTCAAGAAGAAATTWTTATTGAAAATACTGATACACCTTCAAAATATAATCTAGACTACAGCGCAGAAGAATCACCGCTAATTTTTAATCATAATGATGATAATACAAATATCCAAAACACAGAAATTAATACAGAGGCACAGGAGTTAATTCAAGTAAAGGAGTCAGTAAGTGAGGAAAGTGCAAATAAAAACATGAAGCCTAAAAATTCTTCAAATTGGAGTGATTATACTCCGAAGAAATTAAAACATAAGCCAAATAAGAAACTCCGACAGATGCAAACCAACAGAGTATGGGACACCAAAGAAAACTTTAAAGAATACTAAATGACTAACTCAACGAAACTTTCAGAAAACGCTTGAAACTATTAAAGGATTTAAAATTTAAAAAGTCCAACTTGACACTGTACATGTTACAATTCTTAAAAGATCATTTAGAGGAGAATTAAACAGATAATTATTGTGCGCAAACGAAATTTTGAATAATTGGTTTGATCTACTATTATACTGTGGAACGTGAAAATTAATTAAATTTAGTATTGAAGTATCATTAATCAAAATTATTTAAAAGTTTATAAACAAAACATAAAGCCTGATATCTTCTTCTAATTTCAAGTGTAGAAAGAGACATATAATTTGAGGAAATATTGTAATTATCTTGCACATAATAAGGCAGCAACCATTTTATATATTAAAAAAATTTAAACTGTATTGCTTCAAGCCTACCAACATGAATTTTATAATTCGGATTCCAGATTATCGAACCATATTCGAGGATTGAAACAAATAGCATTTTGATGGAATTAAAATTTCTAAAATCACGACAATAACGTTTTATGCAGCCAAGTGCCTTATTAGCTCTACAAATGATAAATTCAGGGTGTTGAATAAAAGTTAATTTACTATCAAGTAATATACCTAAATCTCTCACAGACTGTTTTACTGTAATTTTTGTACTATTAATAAAATAATTCGGTAAGGTTGGAGAGATTTTCCTGCTGAAAACAATAGACTGACACTTTTCAACATTTAAAAACATTTTGTTATTTGCACACCAGTCTTGTAACTTAAAATCAGATTGTAATACAGAAATGTCACGAGATTCCGAAACCTTTCTAAATATCTTAAGATCATCAGCAAATATACGATAATCACTATCAAAATTACATCCTATATCATTTGTAAAAATAATGAAAAAAAGTGGACCCAAAACAGATCCCTGTGGTACACCTGAAGCACACTTTGTAAACCTGACATGTGGCCCCCAATTTTTACTTGCTGGAATCGATCAGTTAGATAACTGTGAAACCATTCTAAAAGCGAGCCAGCAAATCTATAAACAGACAGTTTTTGTAATATTTTGTAATAAAATGGAATGGTTGACCTTATCAAAGGTCTTACTAAAGTCTGTCTTACAGAGTCCACAACTTCATTAACATACGAAAAAAGATTAGAAATAGTTGAGCGTTTTTGAAAGAATCCGTGCTGTTCTGAAACTATAAAACTACTTAGTTGATAAGATAATTTGGAAAGTACAATGGTTTCAAATAATTTAGGAATCGCCGACAAAATTGACACTGGACGGTAATTTTCTATTTTGGACGTGGAACCAGATTTATGAATAGGCACAATAAATGATTGTTTCCAAAATGCTGGAAATATGCCAGTACTCAACGACAGATTAAATATTATATACAAGGGTAACGCCAAAGATTTATAACAATTTTTTAAGAATATTGCTGGTATTCCATCAGGACCAGGACTTTTGTTAGTATTTAATTTTAGCATTGCTTTTTCAATGTCATCTACACTAATATACAAATTATTAAGTGATAAAATTTTGTTTGAGTTAAAATTACAATTAACATAGCCATCCTTTGAGTACACAGAAAAAAAAATTGGCTAAAACCGTTACAAATTGCATTAAGACCTGTTAATTCAGAATCTCCTAATTACATGAAATGAGGCAAATCATTTCTGACCGACTTATTTTTAATAAAATTCCAAATTTTTTTTGGGTGAGCAAAAAGATCTTCTTCGACACTGACCAAGTATTTGTCATAGGCAGTACTAATAGCATCTTTACACTGTCTACGAAGACAAGAAAAATAATCATAATCACAAGCTCTTAAAGATTGCTTATAAACGACAGTTTAGCCTAATTCAATTTTGGGTACGGTTTAGTGCAAGTATTGATTTAAATAGGACAGGTAGCGAATGAGGATTAACTGGATTAGAGCAAGTTGTGGGGGTTTTGGGGCGAAACTAAAATCGCTCACACATTGCGAGAATTTCAACTATTGATGATCACATGAATTCCAAATCTTCAAACTTAATTACTCAGTTCCACCACTAGAAAATCGCTTTCCTGGGATTATTACAAAATGAACGAAATTGGGCCCAATTCAATTTTGGTCAATTACTACACCTCGACATAAAAAAAATGTCTTTGTCCTAAAATTTATTTTCTGATTTTTCCATTCACTATGCTTTAAAATAAAGAAAAAATACCCATATTCCTTAAAAAGTTTGCTTTTGTGGTAGTTATGATAATAAACCCTATTTCTTGAGTTATCATATTTAAAGAAGTATTCTTAATGAGGGATGCTCAACACTATACAGGGTGTTTGTGGATTGCGAGCAAATGTTTTAACCACTAAGAGAATTTGTTATGAAAAGACCAAACAAATTCCGTATCCAAATTTTATTTTTGCAATTTCCCCCCTATGATTTTCACGAGCCGTTCAGTGTCTGTCCTTGTTAGTTGGAAGTAAAAATATCAATAAAAATAAATTGCATTATACAGAAAAAAGGAAACTTTTTGTCCAAAAAAATTATCACTTGTTTGCACGTGTCAGTTTAGTTAGTCGTTAATTCGCTTTCGGGGAATTTTGCACATCGATTTGAAATCAAATTGTCAATCAAGTCATTATGGCCAACTACTCAAACGCCAAATTAACTAGTATACGGACATCACTTCCAAGACCGATTTTCACTAAATGTTTGGGCAGCAATCATTGAAGATCATCAAATTGGACCCCACATTTCACCTCAACGTTTACTAGTGCCATTTATCTGGATTTTTTGGAAAATGTGGTATTTACAAGATGAAGCTCTTTCAGTTTATACCAATGGATTGAACAATCATTTTTCCTAGAGATGGATTGGTTGCCAATGACCACCGCGGTCACCAGATTTAAATACGTGTGTTTTTTTGGGGGTTGACATGAAATAATTAGTGAATTAGTGTATGCATCTCAAATTTATACCTTCCCTAGCCCGAAGAGTACAAGAAGTGTGCATTGTTTTTTTTTTTCAATTTTTTATAATAGTATTGACCCACTAACATAGACACTGATCTACCCTAATGTAGCTATAATTTTTTTGTCTTTACGCTGTTTATGTTCCAAAGTTTTTTCTTATGAATGATTGTAAACGTATTAAGACATAGGCGGGGACGGTTTTCGGCCTCAATTTATTTTTAATTTTAACTCAGAAATGACGTGCTTTCGACAAAAGTTGGAATTCTTTTGACAAGTCCTATTAGTGGTTAAAATTGCTCGCAATTCTCAAACACCCTGTATATTCAACGATCATGGCCACTTAGAACTGAATTTTGTATTGGAGAACTAAACGTTAAATGTGAACCTATGCTGAACCTGAAAATGTATTAATGCTGCCTTTACACATCAAGTTAGGCCTTATGAAACAATTCGTAAAAAAACTGGATGAAAGGTCTGAAGCTTTTACATTTATAAAAAACTTTTTTCCAAAGTTATAGAAGCAAAGGTTAAAGCTGGAATTTTTGGTGGTCCACAAATAAAAAAAAAAACTTTTTGCCAGTGAAAAATTTCGAAAATTACTTACTAGTGCTCAACAAAAAATTGGAGCAGTTTTAAATGAGTGGTTTTTGGATTTTTAGGAAATAGCAAAGTTGAAAATTACCGAGAGCTAGTTGATAACATGTTAAGACTTTAAAACTATAGGCTGCAGAATGTCTCTAAAAGTACATATGCTCATTTAGATAAATTTTAAAACAACATGGGGGCGTATTTCGAAGAACACTTTTAAGCTTTTTTTTACTATTTTGT